TTTCAAACTTAAGTGGAAGTCATTTGTATTAATACATTCTCACATTATTATAAAGAACTACCTGAGACTGAATAATTTATAAATAAGTTTGACTCACAGTTCTGCAGGCTGTACAGGAAGCATGACTGGGGAAGCCTCAGGAAACTTACAAACATGGCAGAAGGTGAAGGAGAAGCAGGAACATCTTACCTGGCCAAAGAAGAAGAAAGAGAGAACAAAGGAAGAGTAACTATACACTTCTAAACAACAAGCTGTCATGAGAACTCACTATTACGAGAATAGCAAGGGGGACTTCTGCCCCCACTATCCAATTGCATCCCACCAGGCCCCTCTTCCAAAATTGGGGGCGATAATTCTGACAGACTGTGTTCTCTATCTGGGTCCACAAGGGGGCATAGTTTTAAGGGCAAGAAATTTCCAGTGCCATGCCCACCTCCCATCTCTCTTCATCCGGGAATTTAACTGTTTATGTTTAAATTTCAGGGGCCCGGGAAGAAACTAAGGGTCAATTACCCAAGCAGAAGTTCTAAGGAACTCCTTTCCTTGGCCAGAGGACTTAGAAAAGGTGGGGGTTCGTCCCAGGTTAAAAGTCCCCTTCTTCTACACCCCTTCAGACTCCACGTCTGGATCCCCTTTGATGAACACTCCCTTTGTGGAAGCCATCTTTCTCTCTCCTAGATTTCCCCTCTGTAGTCCCCTTCTACACTCTCGGGGAAGCCTGTCTTCCCCTCCTAAACTCCATCTCTCTCTATTCCCTTCTGCTCATTGTGGAAGCTGCTTTCCTCTCCTGGATTCCATCTTTCTGGATTCTCTCACTCAGTGTGAGAGTTAGCTGTTTCTTTCTCTCTCCTGCTTCTTTTTCTTTCTCTACCTAAATAAAATCACTTTCTGAGCTTTTGAGTCTGGCATTTACCTTTAAGAGCACACTGCGTCATGGTCTCCTCACCCATTCTTGGGGAGTGATAGACCAAGAACCTGGAGAACGTCCTCTCAGGGAAACCCTGAATCCCTGAACTACAGTTCGACATGAGATTTGGGTAGGCACACAGACCCAAACCATATAATCATTTTAGACATGTAAATATGTAAATACAGGTTGAACATCCTTAATCTGAAAATCCAAAATCTGAAGTGCTCCAAAATGCCAAACTTTTTGAGTACTGACATGATGATACAAGTTACCCTGAACACATTATTTTTCACTGTATTAATGGCATATCATATTTTCTTTTTTACTACTAAGCACATATGTATGAATAAGCAGAAGAAAATGATTGCTTAACAGCAGCATATAAATTCAGAGTCAGGAATGATGTTGACACCAAACAACCACAGGTTGTCCAAGGGGGTGACTGAGATGTACACAAACTTTGTTTCATCTACCAAATTGTTAAAAATATTACATAAAATTTCTTCAGGCCATGTGTTTAAGGTTCATATCAAACATAAATAAATTTCATGTTTATACTTGGGTCCCATACCCAAGATATCTCATGTGTATTTGTGATTATCCCAAAATCTAAAAAAAAATGGGAAATTTGAAACAATTTTGGTCCCAGGCATTTCAGACAAGGGATACTCTCAACCTATGCTAGACATCTAAATAAGTCATACTGTCTATATTCAGTAGAAATGCATGAAGGTTTGGGCCTCTATCATTTCTGGCCTTAGCTTTTGTAATAGAACAGATGGGTCTGTTCCAACCTCTTCCCTCCCAAATCTGTTCTCTAGAGTGCTCTTCTTCTGAGGCGAGGTGACAAAAATTGCCCTGCCGAAGACTCAGCGAGTGACTACTTTATCACCTATAGCGAGGTCACGTCAACCTAGACAACCATCACAAAGACCTTTTGAAAACAGCCCTACTCAGAACTAATAAGAATTTCTAAAATGGGACCTGAAAATCTCTATTTATTTATTTATTTATTTGGAGATGGAGTCTCACTCTTGCAGTCCAGGCTGTAGTGCAGTGGTGCCATCTTGGCTCACTGCAGCCTCCACTTCCCAGGTTCAAGCGATTCTCCTGTCTCAGCCTCTTGAGCAGCTGAGATTACAGGCACCTGCCACCATGCTTGGCTAAGTTTTGTATTTTTAGTAGAGATGGGGTTTTGCCATGCTGATCAAGCTGGTCTTGAATCCCTGACCTGATGATCCGCCCACGTTGGCCTTCGAAAGTGCTGGGATTTCAGGCATGAGCTACCGCACCCAGCTGAAAATCTCTATTTTTAAAAGCTATCCAGGTAATTTTGATAATCAGTCAGGTTTCTGAACTACTAGTCTTTAGGTAAAAATCCAAATTCTTCCCGTGACCTGACGCCAGTATTCCCAGCTCTGTCCCTCAGTACAAATCATGTCCCAGCAGTACTAGCTCAGGACTAGTGATTCTTCAAACCCATGCTGCTTAAAACCTCTCTGTAGTAATCTTCTTCCCTTAACTGCCTGGGGTATTCCTATATATCCTTCAAAAGACTCCATTCAAGCATCATACAACCTTGTATATAGCCAGTAAATATTTATTGAGGCCCTACTACATGCCAGGCTCTGAACTAAGCATTGAGATAGTAGTTCTATCTTCACTAGGTTCATATGCCATTCGAGAAATAGACATGAAAGTAAACAAAGAAATACAATACAATGAGGTAAATTCTATGAGAAAGGCTGTAGTGGGCTGAATAACAATTCCCCCACCTCCCACCCAAAGATGTTCACATCCTAATTTCCATAATCTGTAAATATGTTACCTTGCACTGAGAAGGACTTTTGTACATATATAACCAGGGCGCTTGAGACTTCAGCGCTCCAGCATTTTTTTGTGTGTGACTGAAATAAAGAAAATTTTGATCAGGCCCTTGCTTGCTTGTACATGTTAACCACTCACTTTTTGACCGGTATTCCTTGTTCCCATAACGTAATTATAAACTGCCGATGTACTGTTTCTTTGTCAAGCAGGAGGAGATAACTTCAGGGTCATAAGAATAGTTTGGAGAAGGAAGGAATTCCTTGAAGGACACTGCAACCAGCTTCCATGTACATATGCCTGCACAACGTGTTATCTGAAACTGAAGAAACGCGGACTTTTCCCCTGGATTCCTTGAAACTCCCTCTCCCATACTCTCTAGCTGCATAAAAACTCCCTGCTTCTTTTCTGTTACTGTGGATTTGAGAGCTCTTGCTCTCTTGCCTTCTCACTTTGGCCAAATCGAATAAATATTTCTCTATAGCCAAGCACCAGTATCTCAGTATTTGGCCTCAGCTGCCTGTCGGGTACATGCGCCTGAATTTGGAGTTCTAAAACAGATGTGATTAAGTTAAAGATTCTGAGATGGAGTGACTATCCTGATTATCTTGATGGGTTCAATGTAATCACAAGGGTGTTTTTAAGAGGGAGGCAGGCAGGAGGGTGAGAGAGAGCTAAAGAGGAGACTGAAGGGTATCATGCTGACTATGAAGGTGGAGAATAGTGAAACGAGCCAAGGAATGAAGGCAGTCTCTAGAAGCTGGAAAAGGAATGGAAATGAATTATTCCTTAGAGACTCCAGAAGGAACCAGCCCTGCCAACTTCAGTCCAATGAAGCTGATTTTGGGTTTCTGACCTCCAGAAATGTAAAATAGCTTCTACTTATTTCAAGCCATTAAGTTTGTGGTAATTTGTTTTTTGTTTGTTGGTTTGTTTTTGGGACGGAGTTTCACTCTTGTTACCCAGGCTGGAGTGCAATGGCGCTATCTCGGCTCACCGCAACCTCCACCTCCTGGGTTCAGGCAATTCTCCTGCCACAGCCTCCTGAGTAGCTGGGATTACAGGCACGTGCCACCATGCCCAGCTAATTTTTTGTAGTTTTTTAGTAGAGACGGGGTTTCACCATGTTGACCAGGATGGTCTCGATCTCTTGACCTCGTGATTCACCCGCCTCGGCCTCCCAAAGGGCTGGGATTACAGGCTTGAGCCACCACGTCCGGCCAAGTTTGTGGTAATTTGTTACAGCAGCAATAGAAAACTAATACATAGGCCAACACAGGGCACTGCGGTAATACATTAAAGAAGCCTCTATGTCAAGTCATGGAGAGAGTGAGGATGGGGTGTTCAGGAAGAATTACTCAAAATATGACCCCAGAGCTGAAGAAAGGAGGCTGTGTTTTGGAGGATGGCCCAGGTAGAGTAAGTAGTATGTGCAAAAGTGTACAGAAAGAGCCTGGAAAGTGTTCCAACAAAGTAAGACTGTTTGCATTAAATAGTAGTAAAAACAAAAACGATATCAATTATGGTAAATGTTTATTGTTTGTGTGCCAGGAGTGCCTTGGCATTTTACAAGTCTGTGAGATTGATACTATTATTATCATCTTCAAGGGGGGATGAAGGGATACTAAAGTCTGGGGGAGGAGGTAAGTAACTTTCCTGAGATCAACAAGCTAGTAAGCAGCAAAGCTAGAACTGGATGGAACCTTGGCAGTCTGTTTCCAAAACTCACTCTAATGTTTTTCTAATACGTTACTGTGGGAGTCTTAAGCACTTAAATAAAGGGACATTAATATGGCTGAGGATAAGTGAATTATTAGAAAGATATTATAGAGGTAAGGATCAGTAGAGCTTGGAATATGATCTTGTCTTGGAGACTGACGAAACTGGGAATGACAGATAGATGACTTCCAATTTTCTCTTATGTGATGTAGGTTTTTCTGTGGTTCAGGACATAAAGGAGCCTTCCTTTACTACTCAAAGCAAACCACTCCTTCTTCGTTACAAATTCCACACCTTGCATAAACCTCTTTATTTCATTTCTTCCTTTTCCCCCTAATGTCTGAGGTAGAATTGGGGGTGAAAGCACCAACTCAATACTGGGCCTCATTTTCCATATTTGTAAAATGCTTAGAAGTATCTAATAGTTCCAAACTTGGTTGTGCTTCCGAATGCCCTGTGCGAAGTTTAAACAAAATGCATTTCCTGTCCCCATTCGCAGAGAGTCTGATCGATTAATATCAGGATGGGGCTTTTGTTCCCCCAAAACACACCCCCGTGATTCTACGCGGCCATATGTTGGTAACCAATGCACAGATGACTGTCTAGGCCCTTCCCAGTCCCACCATTCAGTGCCCTCCAGCGCCCCCACGCGTTTACTCGGTGAAGGCCGCCCCCAGCCCAGCTCCCGGCCCCGCCCGAGTCCCACCACCTGCTCGCTTCCCGCCCGGACCCATCGCCCCTCCTCCGATCGTTCTGCGTGCTCTCGCGTAGCTCCGCCTTTTCTAAGTCTGCCGTCTCGCAAGATGGCTGACTTGCTGCTGGGCTCCGAGCCGTGGAACCGCGTGAGGATTCCTAAGGCGGGGAGCCTCAGCGCAGTGATGGTGCAGAACCCCAGCGCCACCCTTCGTGAGTGAGGCGCCGGGCGAGGACTGGGGATGTTTTCGGAGGAGGCCGCCCGGCCGGGCCGGCGCACGTGGGGTGGGGGGCGGGGGCGGGCCCGGGACTTCCCGGGCCCCGGAGACGCTGAGAAGGGGCGCGGGGAGAAACACACAGGGGTCGCGCGGTCCCTGCACTTTGCTGGGGGAGCTCGTAGGGCCTCTGGCTTTACAATCCTTCTTGCAACCAGCTGTGCTAATTCAGGGCTTGGTTGGAGAGGTGAAGAACCAAGGTTCAGCCGTGAGCGGAGGGGGCGGAGAGACGTGGACTTAGCTAGTGCCGGGGAACAGTGCTGCCTGGGAACCCTTGCTCGCCCGGGCTTCGGGGAGCCTTGTTTACCCTTCCGTCCATTTCCCCTTTCCGTCTTTTTCCTGCCTCCTGCCCCCTGCCCCCGGGGAGCGGTGGACGTCACCTAAGCACCGGGACACTATCTGCTTATCTGTAAAATGGAGCTAGTCGTCCTACCCCTCACTGGAGCGTTGGCAATACCTAATGATGTAATTTAGGAGCGTGTGCTCTGTAAACGACAGTGTTTTACCACCTAAGTGGAAGGTACTGTTAGGGTGTAGAGCACATAGTGGGTAGGAGCCTGGCGCAGGAGCCAGATTCTTTGGATTTGAATACTAGCTCTACCCTTTGCTGGAGTTTGAGGGAATTATTGAACCTTTCTGTGCCTCATTAATCTCGCTTTCAAATGGAGATAAAAATACCTTCCTCATAGGGCTGTTTTGGGGGATGAAAGAGTTGATATTATGAAGAAAACATTTGGAACACTGCCTGGCATGGTAAATGGGCACTCAAATGGTAGCTGTTATGAATGTTAACTACTTGACCCGGGGCCCAAGGGAGAGAATAGTCATGGGTTCTTAGTTTGTTTCTGGTTGGGCCAGTAAAGCCCCTTCCTCATCCCTCTTTTCGCTAGAGACAAACTAAAAACCATGGCTTCAGGCTGCAAAAAAGCCCAAAACTAAACAGAACAGCAAACAGCAAAGTAAGGCGGGTTGGACAAGCTTGACTTAGATCATCACATCCTCTTTCCCATCTCTCCATCCTACACACTTTACACATTATCCCATCTATCCTCCTACACACTTTACAGATTAATCTTCCCTTTTTCTCTATTCTTTAACAATTCCTATCAGGCATGGGAAATCACCAACTCACTACCCATCCCTGAGGCAGCCCATTCTGTCTTCAGATAGTTGTTGGGACAGGAAGAAAATTGTTGCTACCTTCTTAAAGGTAGCAACCAGCCTTTACTTCCCCCTGGAATGCTAGTGCTACCCTTAGAGCCATAAATAGCACATGAACTACTTCTTCGACTTTATGGACTGCTACAGATTTTCAGACTAGGTAGCATCTGCTGATGAGCACCTGCTGTTCAGTCAGTCGTTCATCAAATAAGATTTCCAGTTATTATAATGCTTTTTCTTTTCCGAATATGTTTGTGTCTCCCTTACAGTGATACCCAAACACAGAACCCTTGATTTTGAAGACTGATTTTATCCATTCTATCTTGCTTTCGGGCATAGCAAGCAACATGGGGAGTTAAAGAAGTATTACCCATGTTGTGACTTGTGCCCCACCTTCAAGGTGGGGGTGTAAGTGTACACCAAATGACTGACAGCACAGTATTCATATGAAAGATTATTAAACTATGATAAAATGCAATGTGAAGATAGAGATTCTTATTTACCAGATGTTATCTTAATGATTTCCTGGACTTTATATCATCTGTTACCATTTTCCAGCTTTTCTTACGCTTAGAATCCTTATGTTCTTACAGTTGAGACTGATTACATTAGTTTTTGATTCCTTTAAAACAAATAAGGAAAGATGTGTCTTTCAGTGTGTTTTTAATATAATATACTTAATGTAGAAATACATACTAAATCTTATTAAATGTCTCTGCTTCAGACCTTTGGATTGCAGGTGTAATTAAAGAATGCCATCTCGTCACAGTATCGCTGAAGAGCCGAGCCTTAGATGCAGAAACAGATGTGTTATGTGCAGTCCTTTACAGCAATCACAACAGAATGGGCCGCCACAAATCCCATTTGGCCCTCAAACAGGTGAGGAAGCCCTGTAGTTGAGACCCAACCTGTTCACTTGAAAATGTAGATCACACTGCCATTTACTATTTTGCTATTTATGGGACTCTCAGTAATTATTTGTGATATATAGGTTTATAGCCCACAGTTACATGGGACTTTCTTTTTATTTTTATTTTTTTCCCCTGAAAGCATTTCAAAAAGTAATTTTTTAGAAAAGAAGTATGTTTAGATTAATTCTTTCCCAGTCTTGTTTCTAATGGGTAACTAAGCGTTGTCTTCATTATATACTATCTTTAACAACAGTGCCTTTGCCCACCTCAAAGATAAAGGATTTGAGCAATACAAAGTGTTGGACATTAAGAAGCAGTTCCCTGAGCATAATCAAAATGCTAAAATTATAAAAAGAACAAGTCTGTTTACTTACATGGGGTACGTAATCTAATTGGTGGTATGTTAGAGTAAATGGGTATATAGCAAGCTGTGGTATAAACTGGTTTCATGTAACGTCTGGAATTTAAAACAAAATTGGGCCCTCTAGCTCAGGGGTTACACCATAGAGTAGAGCTTCTTAAGCTGGCTTCCTTATATGCTCATTCATTCATTCACTTAATTCTGCAAGTACTTTCTAGAAGGTCAGAGAGCAGTCCATTGTGTGACAGGGCCACCTTGCAAGTGTTTTTGAACTTTCTGTGTACCAGGCACTCTGTGTAGTGCTGTGTATACAGGAATGAAAAAGATGTAGTCTCTAATCTTATAGATGTGTGCTTTCTCGTTAGTTTTCTACCCCGAGTACTTAAAGTAAAAAGGATGAAGATTTTATCAAAGAAAGATATGGGATCATGGTCTTTCCCTAAATTTTCTATTTTTTTTTTTTTTTTTTTTTTTTTTTTTTTTTTTTTTTTTTTTTTTTTTTTTTTTTTTTTTTTTTTGGAGTCTTTTTAATCCAAAAGCAAGCTTGCTGACCCTCAAAAATGAATGTATTTCTGCTTCTAGTTTCTAGTTGTAACTAATCACCCAGTCATAAAAATTAGGTGTTCTCTAGTCTAGTCTCTTTTATGTAGCTCTCCCATCCAGGCAGTCCATAAGGCAAAACTTCCTCTGCATTTGGTCACCTCTTCAGTTCTGGCTGCCATTTTCCTTTCTTAGACCTTGTCAACTTCTGGTTGTCTTACTGTCATAACTGGTGCTTCCTCCTTCAGTTTTTCCTAAGCTCTGGCATATTCTAAATATGAAAACCAGGTTAATCATCTGAAAACACAACTTTGATTTTTAGTGGTTCTCCATTGTGTCCTGAGTAAAGACCAGACTTTTTAGCGTGGCTTACGAGATCTGTGATCTGGCCTCTTCAGTCTCATTAGCTCAGGCTTCTCTCTCACGTTCAGATGTGTTTATTCCAGCTAACCTGAACTCTTAACGTACCTACATGCTCACTGTTTGTTCCTCCTTCTGAGTCTGCTCACCTGGTCCTGTATGTTTAGAATGCCCAGCCTCTCCATGTCTGCCTGTTAAAGGCCTTCCTATTAAGTTCCATTTTAAGCCTTCCTGGCAGTGATAGTCTATGTTATAGTAATCTCATTTTAAGTTGTATTTTTCTGATTATTACTGAAGTTGAATTCTTTTTTTTTTTTTTTTTTTAATTCTTGGCTATTTGGACCTCCTCTTTGTACTTAACAGCATTTAATACAGTCTGTGTTGTGGTGAAGTTATTTGTGTATATATTTTATATTCTACGTGATCCCTTAGGTGGGAAACATGTTTTATGCTTATGTTGCTGCTGCAGCTGCTATTACCACTTCGACTACTGTCTTATAACTGCTTAACATTTCACAGTTCACAAAGAACTTTCATGTAAGTAAACATTCCCCTAAATGAAACACAGAAAACAGTCTTGATTCCTGTTCTATGGAGTATATGTAGGGCATGCTGGGAGATAAAATGGTATTAGAAACTTCCCTATCTCTAGTTGCTAAAAATCTAGCAGTAAAAATAGGAAGACATGTAAATTATTAACTAAATGCTAAAATAAAGAACAGACCCTATTTAAAATTGCAATTCCCTCAGCACTCCCTCTTTGCTTTATTTTTCTCCATAACACTTAACACCACCTACCATTGATTGACTGCCTTTTTCTCCCAGCTCTAAAGTAAGCTCCACAAGGGCAATATAGTTTGTCCCTTTTGTTTGCCGCTGTGATCCAGTTCTTAGAACAGTGTTCAGTAGGCGCTCAATAACATTTAAATTTTTTTTTAAAAAAAGGTAAGAGCCATGCATTGTACAAAATGCTGTAGGAATTCTGTAGTCCTCGGGAATACCACACAAAGGGCAGCATGAGACTGCATCTAGACAGATATAAAAATTTGGGTGGGCAATGGCAACTAGAGTATCTTGCTAGAGCTGCAAATATACTTCTAGAAATTGAACCAAGGTTATGGATTCTGTTTTAACAGCGGTTTTCAGAACAATGGAGGGAACAATCCTTAAATTCTTTAGGGTCGGCTCCTATCTTCAGTTTTCAAGTCTAGACACTATCCTTTGAGGGAGGTAGTGACAAAGCAAGAAGGTAAAGCACTTGGAAAATACAGTAAGTGAACTATGGTTCAAAAGGGACAAACTCGAGAGAGAAGGGAGGAAGAGGGAAGATGCAGAGGAACATGAGAACAAGCTTCGTATACTCAAGGAATATATTTGTTCAGTGTTTAAAGCCAATCATTTTCCTCATCTCTGTGGTACTTTATAGACTGTTGAAATTTAGTAGTTAATAATTTGCTATCTTGTTTGAGTAGTTTCACCATTAAAAATCTCATGGCCTCAGCAAAATTATAATCTTGAGAATAATCTATACTCATTTTGGTCCCTTATATAACATCAAGCTCATTGTGGCATATGCTAATTTCTTAGGACTCACCTGATTTTAAAAATGTGTTTGGCTGGATAAATTCCAAATTTGTAACCAGAAGCAATTGCCTGCACTTCGGATTTCTCTAACCTGAGAAAAAATAAGGTAGTCTATGGTATTTAGCATATTTCCATACTTTGAAAATCTAGAACTCTTCTCTTTCCTGGTCATAATCAGTGACCACGTCTGCATTACATACACATGAATTTGAGCTGCTCTTCTTCTTTCAGGTTGAGCAGTGTTTAAAACGTTTGAAAAACATGAATTTGGCAGGTTCAATTCAAGACCTGTTTGAGTTGTTTTTTCCCAGGTAAGTGGTCCAGTTGCTTTGTGATGTGGTGGGCTGGAAACTCGATGTCTTGTGATCTCCCTTTCATTTCTCTGTGCTTGGTGCTGGAATATAATCATTATACTTCAGCTGTATAAATTTTAACATGAGGCACCTGGTGTTTGTGGTAATCTTCTGACACTGGTGTATGGGGAGTGACGAGTGTGAACTCTGGGTCATGGTAGATTGTATTAAAACATCAGTGGGCTGTTATTGCATATAACTACTTAAAATTGACCTTAAAGCAAGTCTTCACTTGAAAACTGCTATAGAAATGTTTTATATTTAAAAAAGTAATGGGAGCTTGCAGATAGCTGAACATGTATGTGAAGGGTCACCCAGTGAAGGCATGGAAGCTCTATGCCCCTTCTGCCATACCTTGCCCTATACATCTCTTTATTTGAATCTTTTGTCATATCCTTTATAATAAAGTGGTAAATGTAAAATAAACCTTTTTTTT